CAGTCCCAAATAAAAGAATATTACAGTCCAAATATTACAGTCCGAATAATATACAAGTTCCTAATTAATTAATGAATTAACTAAGAGAGCAAATAAAACTGGCGTGCAAGCCCAGGATTGCCTTGCTTCTGATGAATGATGCATGTCTGGGTTGCCTTGCGCGGAAATCCACCAGGATGCCCCAATTAGCCTCTATTTAGCAGTTATTCTTGGAAAATGCGCCAAGCTCCGAAAAGTTCCTGATTCTTCATTTTGCTGCAACAGAGAGCAGGAAAGGGGCATAGCAATGTATTTTCACAGGTATATGCATGTCTCGATCCTCGTGCCACCAATCACGCATACCGAGGCATGATGGCCGAGGAGTCGAAATGCACAATTTAATATAGGATGAATGCACACAAAAACACAGCTAAAACCTAACTCCATCATGGATAATCCGGAGTGTTGGTGACTGGGAAATTGAGATACATTCCGTCACTCGGAGTACGAAATGCACCTCGTTTCCCGTGCCCGGGCTAACTCCTATTCCGAACACGATGCAATATGCAACTAAGATACAATCCTAACATATACAATGCTATGGAATGACATGCCTCGAAATACGTGCACACGGGCACACGACCCGAGAAAATGACAGAATGCGATCTAAGATACAACCTAGTATGCACTATGCTGTAAAAATGAGATGCCTCGAAATGCGTGCACACGGGCACGCAAACAGAGAAAATGACAGACGCAATGTAAATGACATGGAAATATGATATGGGCTAACACTAACATGAGAGAGCCACAGCCACACTCACATAAGACGCTGATGGATGAAAATGAAGTGCCTCGAAATGCGTGCACACGGGCACGCAAACTCCACTTCCAAATTCAGCCCAGGTAAATTTAGACCAGATCTACTCAAGCTTCTCATACATCCAGGTGTGAAGACTTGCCCATCATTACCTTGATCAGCTGGTTTTGAGGCATTAAATGCACTGCTACCTGCCACCAGTTCCTAACATACTTCCACCTCGAGCTCCTTACCTACGAAGCTGCTAGACTCAGCCACTACCGTATCACTCTTCCATTTTGCCCCTATTATGCTGTCATCCCCACGTGTCAACAATCGTCTGGCCTCAATTTTGAATTGCTCAGAATCCTGAGCTGACCCACCTTTTCTGGGTTCAGTTGACTCGTTTCCGAGGTTCTGTAATGGCTTACCAACTCTGTTAGAGTCATGCTCCTCGTCTCCCTCTTCGGAACTTTGTTCCTTTATCTTATCATGTTGAATCGAACAACTACAGCACTGATTTATTGTTTTTGGTTCAAAAGTCTGAACTTCCACAACTCTCACTGGATGAGAGGAGTGCTTGGTCACCAGGTTGATAACGTTATTAACAGGTTCCATGCACTTGGTAAGGATCCTAAGCTTCCCGCACTCAAAAGACTGAGGCATGCATTCAGCACCTTCAATAACTTCACCCCATATGCTACCAATCTTGACAAGATTGGACCTTTTCCATAAATGTATTGGAATGCCATAACAACAAATCCATACTAGTCTCTCCTGTACCAGAGCAAGCTCTGGCTTCCATTGGATGATATCTTCACACCACTCATCAATAATTTCTTTAATGGTCTTCATCTTCGTTACCATTTCCTCCTTAGACTTGAAAGATAACACCACATCCCGGCCGCCTCCTTTTCTGGCTTCAAACCCATCAATTCCTCTAGCATTAAGCTCAGACTTTAAACTAATGTTAACATATCTTACTTTTAGCCGGACTACGACACTATCACAGAGCCACCCATTTCCATACACCTCGGCCTTAACTGTAATGGAATCTCTGTCCTGAGCCTGGAGCCCTCTTACCACGCTTGCAAAAGTTTTGTTATTGGTGAGATGATCTACGCCTCTCCAAAATTCCTGTCTGGGGATTGGTTGCTGTGATTTTTGAGCATAGTACTTCCCCTGTTCTCTGCTTCGTTGGAAAGCTGCAAGTTTCACGAGCAGCTTTTTATCATCCACCCATAGACCATTCGCCTTTTGCACAGCAACGTTTGCTGCTACTTCACAGCTATATCTTACAAATCCAAATCTAGTGTTGGTGTTTCTTCGACGTTTTTGCGAAATGAAGATATCCTTTACAACTCCAAACTTCCTGAACAGGTTGAACAAATCTTTGGAATTCATTGAGCTAGGTAGATTATCCACAAACACTGTGAAAACTACTACACCACCCATTGATTTCCTTTCTTCTAAGTTCCCTCTTTGCTTCACCACCGGAATCCATCCCTCTTTGCATAGCATTACATGTTTGTATATCATTGTAGCAAATTATGATACCAAATGCTTGCTGGAGATTTTTTTTTCCCCTCTTATTTTTAATGAATGATTGATGGAGTTACTTAATCTTATATAAGGATTTTATTGTATAAAATTTATTGTCAATTTGATAATTAAATTTGTGATTGAAGCTTTTTATGTCCTCTGGTGGAGAAAAATCAAAAAAACATGCAATTTTTATTTCTAGGGATGTGGGGTTGATGGATGCAAATTGTCTGCATTACTTGCATTGTGTTTGGATAATGGATTTAAACAATGATTTGGAAAGAAATAGAAAAAATGTGACGGTGAAAAATTGTGAATGAAATATAAATTAAGTTTTTCTTTCATTTCTTATCTCCTTTTCAAATCTCAACTTAAATTTATGATTTAAACACAATACTTGAAAAAGACAGGCTACAATACTTGTCATACATACCACATGCAAGTTATAATAAAAATTGGTATTGATTTTAAACTATTGCCGTGCTAGGTTATGGGGGTATTATGATGGTAGAGCAAGTAAATTATCAAAATAAAATTGGTTAAGAGTTACTATGGTGTTTGATTATATTTTAAAGTGATTACGGGGTATTATGGTGGTGGAGCAAGCAAGTTATTAAGACAAAAAAAAAAAATCCCAAGATTTGAGTCATTTTACAAAATAAATTTAGTTTTTAATTTTGTCAATTTAAATTTTAATCTTTTGATTTGTCTTCAATTTAAGCATGTCTATTTTTTGTTAAACAAGACCAATAGAAAAATAGTATTTTAGCCTTTAAACTCAATGTAAATATATATAAAATGTCTAAAATATCATTTTTTATTTAGTTTAATGACTTTTTTACCTTTTTGTAAATAACTTTTTTTTTTATCCCACTAACCAGTAATTCTCCCTTTATAAAATTGATTTTTTTATACATTTTTTTTATAATTTTTTAGTGAATTTTTTAATACTTTAAGTAATTTTTTTACTTTTTAGATTTACATAGATACATTTAAAAATATAATAGTTATAAAAAAATCTTTAAAAAAATTTATCAAATACAAAAAATATAAAAATTCTACACACTTTCATATTTTTGTATACTTGTTAAATTTTTGAAATAGTTTTTTTTTTTTTTTACAAATATTTTACCTTTAAAATAAGAAATTTATCTATAGATCTCATCTTGAGGAATGGTGATTCGTTTAGTCCCAATAATTTTTTTATAGACTAATTAGTCCTTTTAATTTGGGAAATGTAGATTTAATATATTATTTAGGAATTGAATTTCCGATTATACCCATATTTATATATATATATATTTTTTCTGTGTTGAAAAGGTAATATACACAATCTATAAGAATCAAATTGGTGATGAATTTTTATATGGGAATTTTTTTTATTCGGAAAACATTTCAAAATGAGTACAAAATTTACTTGAAATGTGAGATTTTTCAAACATTTTAAAAAGATGTGAGATTTTTCCAACATTTTAAAAGAAGTATAATTTCAAACTTTAACATTCCAATATAACGCTCAAACATAACACTTCAATGTAATATTTCAAAAAAACCCTTTAATGTGCTTTCCTCAAACATAACTCTAATATAACACTCGAAAAATACTCTTTACCGTAACACTCTAATATAACACACAAAATAATTTCTTAGTGTACTTTTTTCAAACGTAACACTCCAAAAAAGATGTGGGATTTTTCAAACTATTCTAAAATGATGTGAGATTCTTCAAACCATTCTGAAAGGAGTACAAAAATTCCTTACTAAATTTTGGTCAAATGTATAAATTCAAATTGTGAGTATTGCGTTTAGAAAAAGTACACTAAGAAGTTTTTTAGTGTTTTTGTGTGTGTTACGTTAGAGAGTACATTTGAAATTACATTGATTGGAGTGTTACGTTTTGAAAAAGTACACTAAGAAGTTTTTTTATGTGTTACATTGGAGTGTTACGTTGTTTCGTTTGAAAAAAGTACACTAAGAAGTTTTTTAATGTGTTACATTGAAGTGTTATGTTTTTATTTGTAATGTGGAATTTGTACAGAAGGAAAATAAAAAACCTTTATAGTACGGATTGTCCAAATGTGTAATTTCACATTTAGAGAAACTTACTTTTATCTCTCAAAAACTAAACCCAAATGTGTAAATGATTACCTTTTGTGTAATTTATACTTTAATGGACCTTTATATTTATAAGAAAAAAGAGAGAGAATTAAATAGTACACAAGATCACATTAAAAGAATTTATACTTTAATGGGCCTCTATATTCATAAGAAAAAAGAGAAAGAATTAAATCGGTGGCGCTACATGCACCAATTAGTGTACACACTAGTATACCAACTAGTGTTATCATATCATTAATGACCTTATTTATTATACAAATTACAAATACCCAAAATCTCTAAAATTATGCCACATCATCTATTGGTACACTAGTGTGTACACTAATTAGTGCATATAGCATTATTCGAATTAAATAGTGCACAAGATCACAGGATGTGATTTATTAGTGCTTCACCTTTAAAATAAGAGTAAAAGTTCTACCAAATGTCCTACATAGATATATGAGACATTTGGTAGAAATTTTGGTAAAACTTTTGAGATATTTATTATTTTTGTTAAAATAATAACAACAATAATAATTTAAAATAAAAGTGAAAAAAAAAAGTCACGAAGCGTTTGGTTGCAAAGGGCTCTCTCTCTCTCACACTCACCTAGAGACACGGAGCTTGAAGAATGAGGAGAAGGAGAAGAAGAAGATGTCAAAAATTGATGCATCTGCGATTATTGGAAGAGCAATATCTTATAATTGGCTATTAAAAGGTACGCCGCCACCTGTCTCCTCATTTCTTTTGCTTCGTTCTTTCTCTACCATTTTTACAACACCTACTTCTTCTGCTCATCCTCCTCCTTCTTCTTCTGTAATCACGAATCAACGAGTCAAGCTTTCTAAAACTGTAACCACACATCAATGCGATTCGAATTTCGATGATGCTGTTAATTTGTTTAATCGCATGGCCCAAATGCGACCATTGTCCCCCATTTCTAACTTCAACAAAGCTTTAGGGACTATTACAAAAATGAGTCATTAAGCCATTGCTCTTTCTCTTATTTTGAACAAGTTGCAACAGTTCCAAGGCATCCTGTTCGATATCTACACCTTCAACATTGCTATTAACTGTTATTGCCACCTTAATCAAGTCCATGTTGGGTTCTCTGTTTTTGGTTGCCTCTTCAAACGCGGTTTTATACCTACTGTAGCTACCTTTAACACTCTGATAAATGGACTTATTTTGGAAGATAAAACCCATGAAGCTGTGGAGTTATTTAAGAAATTAATAACCAGTAGAGAAATTGAACCCAACGTGGTTATGTATGGAACCATTATTAATGGCCTTTGCAGAATAGGGAACACTATCAGGGCTGTTAGTTTGATTAGGATAATGGAAGACGGAAGTTATAAACCTGACACCGTAGTGTGTAACACAATCATTGATAGTTTTTGCAAGGATAGAATGGTGGATGACGCTCTCAAACTCTTTTCTAAGATGAATGAACAAGGTATTCATCGAGATGTTGTCACTTATACCTCTTTGATTCATGGCCTACATAATTTTGGAAAGTGAAAGGAGGCTACCAAAATGTTAAGAAAAATGTTGGATGCCAGTATTTCTCCAATTGTTCGTACATTTAGTGTGTTCGTGGATGCACTTACCAAGGAAAGGAAGACAAAAGAGGCAGAGGGGGTACTTGAAGTCATAATACAAAGAGATGTGGATCCTAATGTAGTCACATACAGTACTCTAATGGATGGATGTTGTTTGCAAGGCCACATGGATGAAGCAATCAAAGTGTTCAATACCATGGTGGATAGGGGCCTCCACCCTGATGTTGTTAGCTATAACATTCTAATCAACGGATGTTGCAAGAAGATGAAAATAGATGAGGCCATGCATCTCTTTCAAGAAATGCCTCGGAGGGGGTTGAAACCTAACATTGAAACCTTCAGTACTATCCTACAGGCCTTGTTTCAAGTAGGTAGATGTGGAGCTGCTCATAAACTTTTTAATAAGATGCAAACTGTAGGCATAATTCCAGATTCTCAAACTTATGGTATCTTATTAGATGGGTTGTGCAAAAATGGGCATATTTCTGAAGCATTGTCATCATTCCACGTGATGAAAACTGAAAAAATCTAGAAATCCCTTAGATGTTGATTTGTGATTATGTATCAATTTTAAGCAGTATATAACAATCCCAATTAAACAATCAAGACAAATCGACACAACGATTTTAATGTGAAAAAACCACAATTCGAGCACCTCCAATTGTGATAAAAAAATCACGGGCAACAGCCACAAAACAATCCACTAAGAAGATATAAAGGAATTACACAGGTATACTCTCAATTACCTAGCGAATCCACGCCCGAATTGAACCAACCCTTACGTGCCTCTTCTAACCCCGTCTTCACCTCAAAATTGTCTTGACGATGAGCCACTCCAGAATCCACCAAAGCTTCAGGCTCGAATTCCTCGAAATCCACCGAAGAATAACTCTCTCTCTTATGTTGAATAAGCAAACAAACCTTTGATGTAACCTTCTTAAACCATGAGTTGAATACTCAATTAAAACATCAAAGAAAACTAGCAAAATAGCCCCAGATATAAACCCTAGAACCCAAAAAGAAGATCTGGAGGCGTTATCCTAGATTTGGACTGAAACACGTATTTATAGAAATTTGTCCCACGATCTCCGCTCGAGCGTCAGATTGGCCGCTCGAGCGGACCTACGCTCGAGCATGGAAAGTTCCGCTCGAGTGGGAAAAAACAACATCCAGTCTTTTTACAGGCGAACAAACTTTTGAAACCTGGCATTCTCCGCTCGAGTGGGGGAATGTCTGCTCGAGCAGACAGGCAACTTTGAATGCATTTTTGCATTTTGCTTCGGGGGCGCTGCCCCGGACCCGCAAAGGGGCGCTGCCCCCTCGACCCCCGCGAGCTGACCGGACAGCTCGATCCCCGTCATAATCAGCGAAGTGGCAATTTTGAAAGAATTAGACACCACAAACTTCTCTGCAAAGCACGATTTGGGTTGGATTCGCATCTATTAAACTCATAGCCTCATTGAAATAAAAGTGCGAAAACAAATACAACTGAAAGGAGTTTTGTCAAACGGTGGTTGCCAAGAATAAAAACCTAACAGAAAGGAGCGGTTTAGATCATAATGTTGTTATGCACAGTATTCTCATTGACGCATTTTGCAAGGATAAAAAGCTTGATACTACAAAGGCCTCTTTCAATAACCTTTCTTCCAAGGGATTACATCCTAATGTTAAGACATACAATATGATGATACATGGTCTTTGTGAAAAAGGCCTACTGCATTAAGCTAAGGTGTTGTTTGTTAAAATGAAACAGAGTGGTTGCTTGCCAGATGGTGTCACTTACAACATTATTATCCGAGGATTTATTGGACAATACAAGTGCTTTGAGGCATTAATACTAGTTGAGGAAATGGTTCAAAGTGGTTTTTCAGTAGATGCATCCACTTTTCCCTTGGTCGTAGATATACTCTCAACGAAAGGACAGGATCCTGCTCTTCAAGAAGTGATAAAGAAGTTCATGCCAAAAAATAGTCATGAAATGCAAGAGAATGAGTAAATTTCTTAAGCTGTGAAGGTAAAACTACATTTATACTAAACCATATAGTCTATTCTTAAGTGAAAGTCTTTTGTTTTTCCTTTCTTCTTGTTACTGTAATGTGATCTTTAACTCTCGAATATGACATTTTGTAGCCTTTAGGGTTTGTTTACTTCCAAAGGAAAGCAGTGATCAAACAATTTTTACCTCGACTCTGATAAAAAATAAAAAATAAAGAACTATTTACCTCGACTCTTATATTTCTCTTTGGTTGCCTCTTTTGCTTAGTTAACTATAATACAAATATGATATGACTAATATTTCGAGCATAACCTCTAGTGACATGAAAATTGATGCATTCCGTGTCATTGTACGTTCAATTCCTTCTTCCTTTCCTCCATATGATGGAATTTTGTGAACTCCAGTACCCTTTTTTTTCCATGTCCTGTTTCTGCAATATTCTCAATTGCTTCATGTTGGTCAACTTTTTCTCCCGATATCTTAAGCAGGTTCAAACACTTATGTACTTGAGACTTTAACTTCAACCAATACTTTTGAAAAAGTAGACTATTGGTCATTAGTAGAAGATTAAAATTTGAAGGCCTTGATATGCATTTATTTTCATAATCTTCACATCTAGGAAGACATATATATAGAGGATAGGATAGGATTTGTTATTTGTCCTCTTTTTAGGCTTTAATGGTATCTCCTTTTTAAGGGGATTCCTATGTTTTTAATTTCTAGAGACTGGAGAGTTATGTGATTTTGTTTTTGTTTTATTCTTTGTTCTTTTTTTTGTAATTTTATCTCTTTTTCTCGGCTCTAGGCCAACTGTAGTACTAAGAGTATAACTCTAATCTAAGAAGATCAAGAAGGCTCCAAAGGACACGTAGCCGGGAAGTGGTCACTGCTACTCATGGAGTTTGACATTATATTTTATAAAATTTTGAGGTTTTCAATGGAAAAATAATATGAGGTATCCCGTTCTAATGCACTCCAAGAACTAAAGTCCTAGTTTATGTTTAATTATAGTTTTTTTTTCAGTCTTTTTTTTTTTTTTGAAAGCCAAGGATGCTTTGATAGTTTTTCATTTTCCAGACATGGTTTAATTATGGTCCATAGATCTCCGTTTGTAAGTTAATGTTATTAATTCTTATAAAATGATCTGTTATTTGGTCTGGTCAAAGTGTTTAAGATTCCTAGTTTCTACTCTTGGGGGGCTAATAACTAATAAAAGAAGTCCAACAGATATATCTACGTATGAGCTTATTAAATGATGTCTGGATTCAAGGGAATTTGAGATTACTTTTGTTTGGTGGAACTCAACTCCTAAGAGGATGAAGCACAAGGACTCTAACCAAGATTTCTATGTTGTTCACTATTTGTTCCTCGTACTCTTTCTTGCTCTAATCAACTCTTTCCAACCTTGGAATCTTATTCTCTTAAGTGTAATCCTTAACAAAAATTTGGCCCTAGCAATTAAAAACCACATGAAAAGAAAAGAAAAATCCAAAAAAAAAAGAGAGAAAACTGAGGATAAGTTTGTATTCTCAGGTTACTGTTTTGTCCCAAAATAGTTATTGTTTGTTGCCAAAACCCTACCGACTACACTACCTAGTCCTAATGAACCCTAACATTTTCCCTATTTGTTGTCTTGTTATTTAATTTGTTTTCCTGATTTTCCAGCAGCTTAATGGCAATAAGCGTAGCAGCTTATCACATTTGAATCTAATCCTATATGAACTCCATTTTATCCTCAAATTTATAAAGACTTTCTTTTATCTTTAGGATAATTAAACCATATTCTACACATCAATCAACTATTTTTTTCTCTCTCCTATCTCATTCTCTCGCATCCCACACATCAATCAATCATTTTTTCTCTCACACCAGTTTATTCAATTACAAAAAAATACAAATCATCCCAAACTAAAAAACTCCAATTTTGTAAAAACTATTTTCAAAATATACAACCAAACAAATTTTCAAATTTTGAAAACCCTTTTTCAAAACTTATCTTTCAAAATTGATTTCAAAACCAAACTAAACACAACCAAAAGCTTTCTGAAACCGTTGCCCACCATTCAACCAATTGTGAGATGCATTATTTAAGTCTATTATCTCTTTTCTTTTCACCCATATCTTTTATTATGTTGATTTAAAAGCTTATGTGATTGAAATTTTTATCATAGCAGAATTTTTGGCTACAATAGTGTAAAGAAAGTAATTATCCACTGGTAGTACTACCAATGTGGGAAGTGGAGGGGCTGGACTATGAGTTCTGTGGGCTGCTGTTTGCCTTCCCTAGGGCTATGAGTTTTATGTTTTTGTTTTCTCTTTCACTTTCACTTTTATTTTTTAATGAAATTTTGTTGTTGCTCAAAAAAAATATATGTATAGAGGGGCTGGACTACACAGTAGAATGTTTATTATTAGAATGCGTATTTTCTATTTCATTTCCTATTTACTTTTGTTATATAACTATGTTTCATTGTTGAATTATCTTATCAGAATTAACTGCCTCGAATTACTATTTAGCATAGAACATTGCAGAGATTGCACTTGTCACCCATTCTTTTCCCTTATGTATTGCACTAGTTTACCTCATTTGCTCCCTTTGTATTCTTTATTATTGTTTATTGTTTTGCTTATAGCTGTCACATATTCCTCTTTCTTGTTTGTTGCAGTGGTTCTACTATTTGCTCCCTCCCTTCCTTTTCTCCTCTATATGATGAAATTTGGTAAACCTTAGTACTCTGTCTCTCTCTCTCTGTCTCTCTCTCTCTCTCTCTTGGCAAGAGCACAGAGAAGAAATTTCAAGAAAAACAAAGGTGGTTGTCTTTATTTGAAGGATTCTCCCATCTCAGCAAATCATTGGTTGTTTTAAGAGAATGTCAAATTTGACTTATTTTTTAGCCCTTGTCCTCTGATACACATGGTGAGAAAGAAAATTTTCGAGGCATATCTACCAAGAAAGCTAGAAGCATTTTCAGGAACAAAGTTGTACAAGAATTGAAGCGTAATGCAGATGAAGCTCAGGAGTTGCTTTAATTGGAAAGATCAGTTTAACTTGCAAGTTGACAAGTAGTAATTAAAGAGTTCCATACTGGGGAAGTCTGTCTTGGCTTGCCACCCACCCTCAATATGCAAACCCCACCCAGCTTTGGGGCCCTTCCTTGATGCCACAAATGGAATATCATAAAGCTGCACACAATATTTCAAGTAAATCTTAAATCCGACATGGCTCATTTACATGGCTATTTAGGTTTTCAGTGCTTGTTAATATAGTGGCTAGTTGTTGTCTGTGCCTACTTTTGAAACTATCTGTTGAGCTAATCTTTTTCCAATTAATTTTAAAGTCCACTATATATTGTTGATCCGTCCTTCATTGCTCTTCAACAAGGTATTGTTATGATCAAAATTGGTGTTGGTTATGAATTATTGTGATGTTAGTTTTTGGTTATGGGCCACTGTGGTGGTGGAGCTTGCAAATTATCAAATCAAAGTTGGTTAGAACTTGTAGTGTTTGGTTATATCTTAAAGTGGTATTACTTATTGCTCATTTGTGGGAGAGCTTTAGATATGACTAAATGGTTCTTGGATAAATCCAAAGTAATACTGGTTATGACCCAATATGATTATAATCAATAATTTATATTAAATTTTTTTTAACCAAATCGCTGAACGTAGATGTATATATGGTATATTTTTTTCTTTTTTCTTTTTTGTGAAAATGTGTATACGTTATTGTATCAGACATATTTGCAAAAAAATAAATAAAATACATATCATATGTACTTACTTTTAGCAATAGAGTGTAATGAAATGAACATATTTTTTGATGAAAAAACTTAAAAGTAAAAATCTTATTTGATTTTGCTAAAAATATTACTCCATAAAAATCAATTTATTTTTAGGAATATCAACAAAATTACTAAAAGACAATTTAATTTTCATACTTTGAAAAGTTCTACCACCTCCCATTTAGTTATGCTAATATAGAGATGTTAATAGGGTTTCATAACATTATTAAGATTATATATTTAACTCTTCACCAAGAGTAAAAGCTTCAAAACATTCATAAAACTCTTTCTAAATAAAAAATAATTAAAAAAGAAACATCAGTTTTTTTTTTAATTATTAAACAATAATCACTATTACCAAAACCATTATAATTGAAATAACACCATTTAACATATAAGATGAAAGAATAACTACTAATTAATGGTGTTTAAATTACTCAGTGAATTGAAAAATCAAACTGAACAAATTTCTTTGAATTTGGTTAGTTTGGTTTTTGAGTACATTGCCTTACTTTCAGGTCTTCTAATCATCAAACACATAGGATTTGATTGATTCTAAAATTTAAAACTTGCCCAAATCAAATCAACTCAAGAACCCTTCTCTGAAAAGCCTTTTTCTCGTTTTTTCTCTCAGTGCACATCTCTCTATTCTTTAATCTCTCTTGTTTTTATCCCTTCCCTGAGTGGTTGATGGATAAGCAGGAAGTTGTGGGCTCCTGCCCTCAGTATTATACTAGACTCTCCTTCTTTTGCTCACAACTAGTGAGCTTTCCCACAGAGCAGTTGTGATGCGACTGGATGTGCAGCAGATCTGCAACTGACATTGGTTGACGATGCCTTTGGCTTAGCTTGACCGAGATTAATTACAGCATGTCCCACCAGCCAGGCATACAATTGATTGGTCTCACACATTGCGTTTTCTATGTCCTCATTCCGGGTCAAATGCCAATTTGGGTGTGATCAAACCCGTCTAGATGAGGGGGTCGAATATCCAGCTCCATTTCTAGTTCGTGCTTCGCACTTGGCCTGATACCTCACTACTTGGAGGATGAGAGAGCTTTTGGCCTTCTGCTGTTAGCTTCAGTTGTGCCCTTTCTGGCGAATACGTTGATAATGGGGAACAGACAGAAAACTTGACTCAATTGTGCCCCTAGTTCATCATTTTGACCTTTTTTTGTTTTGGCTTTCTACAAAAACAAATTTTGACCAATATCAGAGTTAGATTAACATGCTTATTCGATTTTCTAATTTGAAATCATGCAAGTCAGGTTGTGAGCACTGAAAATTTTCCTTTTTTGGGTCCAAAAAATGGTCCAGTTTTTGAAAAATGGAATAATTTTCAAGAAAACTAGTCAACCTCACTAAAAATCTTCAAAACTATTTTTGCAAATGGCCATTGCTCAACCAACACGGAATCTACTCTCGAGATGCACATTCTCATATCTGAACTTGATTTGTCTTGCAGCTAAATCTTGTAACGGAATACGATAACAGAATTAGAATGCAAACGAGCCAATTTGCACATGGATAAGATAGTCGAGTTAAACAAGGATCAGCCAATTAACATGGATGAGACCAGCAAACTGGAAATGATTGGGGCCAAACTTTAGGATGAAGTTGCCTACGTATCCTTAGTTCCGGGGTTGAGTTTCACTCGGGTGTTAAGACTCTCCTTTTGCGCTCTAACTTTTGCCAAAGCCGCCCTTCCAGGTTTTCAACCTTGCGAGCTATGTTTTTCTTTTCTTTTCTTTTCTTCTTTTCTTTTCCTTTTCATTTTTTTCATTTTTTTTCTTTTCCTTTTCTCTGCTCTAACTTTTGCCTAGGTTGCCCTTCTGGGTTTTCAGCCCAGAGAGCCTCTCAAGGATAGAAAATTTTAACTTGTTCATGTTGATTGACTGTAGGATCTCTAAGCCATCTGAATCCAGGAGAATGGTTGTTGTTTTTGATTAAATAGTCTTAATGATGTAAGAGCCCATCTAATTGGGGTTTGAATTTGCCCCTAGTGTTGTGGACAGAAACTCGGTCGTCCTTCAACAATAAATTTTCTTCTTTCAAATTTTGGGATTGGGCTTTCTTGCCAGTCTCCATTGGCTTGAGAAATGACCCAATTTTGAATCTTTGAGCACATCTGACATTTTTGCCCCTAGTTTAAGGACTACTTCTGATCTAACTTTGCAAGCTTCCTTTGATGACATCTAACCTTCTTGATCTGATCTTCTTGCCCCTAGTTCAAGGTTTGCTTCCGATCCGACCATACAAGCCTTATATTGTGATTGATTGTTTGAACATTCTGAGTCAAGGTTCAAGGTTTGAAAACAAAGGGGTCGAGTCTTGAGGTTGAGAGCAATCCTATGCTGCACAATCTCAAGATCGATTCCACGCATGTCTTCGTAGGACCACGCAAAACATTTTTTGAAATCTTTTAAGAAAGCAACTAGTCGTTCGCGCTCTCCTAAAGACAATGTAAAACCAATCTGGACTAAGCCAAGATCCTTCTCAATACTCACATTAACAAACATGATCTCATTCATTAAGGGCTTAGCATGTCTCCCTTTCTCTCAGTTGATCAAATTTTTGCAAATCCCGAGGAATTCCTTCCTCTTTGTTCTCATCATAGTGTTAGAAAAGTTTTGAAAAACGTAGGTCAATGCAATGATTTCAAGGCACAGAAAAGTAAGTGAAAATCTCTACCGTTTCATTCAGATCTTCTGGAGCAACTGGCTCAATGGCAAAAACAGACGCAAAGGAAAGTGTGTAAAAGACAAACACAAAACAAGATAATGATATCTGAGGTAACACTCCCGAAATCACCCGACTCTAACACAACAGGACTAACTCGATACAACAAGACAGACTCAATACCCAAGTCAGAAAGTACAATAAACAGCATTTTCAAATTGCTCAAAATAGTGCGTGCCATCCACCACATTTGGAGTAAAATGAGCGCCATCAGTAGGTGGTTCATCCCCCAATCACATAGTCACATTATCCTCCCAGTTCATTGATTCAGTGTCGATAGACTTTGCAGGACCTGGTGCGATGATGACCTCGTTGTCAATCAGATCTTGAACTTCATGGCGAAGATGATAACAACTGTCAGTGTCATAACCAGTTTGTTGATGGAAGGCACAGTACGTGGCAGCATTATGCTTGGCTGGAAGGGGATTCGGGAGAGGTCGAGGGTCAAGGGGTTTAAGATGGCCTTGTCCTACGAGGATTTTGAGAGCTTTGGATAAGGTCATATAAAGTGAAGTGAAGACCCTCTGGCCTCGGGCCTAATGGCTTGAGGTTTGTGAAGTTGTGTTGGACGTACCGGCAAAGAGGTTAACAGGTGCTGACTCGATTTGATGATCTCTTTTGAGTGTAGGATTGGAGCTGAAAGGAGCATTTCTAGTATGACAGCCTTTTTCATGGCCTGCCCTTGGATTCGAAATGCCCCGAACCTGAGTGGCAAAAGTGCCATCCACAGTCTTTGCAACAACTACAAGCACTTGCTATTTGTTTAGTCTTTCGGCTTTCAAAGCCTCAACAACCCACTGAAGATGTTCATAGGGACCAATGCTTGCCCTTACCTTGTTCTTGCCATTTGCCTCCACTTTGCCCAGGGATTGGGTCGCTATATCAGAGCGGAGCCCAATTGTTGTCGACATGTCATTACCCAGACCTGAGATAGCTTTGGGTTAGCCATTTTCAATTGTAGCTTGGCCCAAGATTGGGGAGCCTTTTGGTGTGAAATTTCTAGCATGTGATGTGGTCGATGATGGAACCAAAACCCCAAAGGCTAAATCTGGCATTGTTCTTTGAAGATCTTCAATCATGCTCATTAGCTCAAAAGTAGTGGGTTCATGGGTTTGAGATGTTTGGTGCTTGAGTGCATCCATCATACACAAGTCCATGCTTTCTGGAATGAACACCTCAGGCTTTGGTAAATGGGCCGAGGTGATGTATATGCTAGGGTTATAAGTAGATGGCAGTGTATGGATTAGATTGAGGTGTGGATGAGGTACTTGGTCATTGGGGTCTTGAGGTGGAGCTATCGTCTGGTTGTCGATGAGATCCTGGACCTCATGACGAAGACGGTAGCAACGATCGGTGTCATGACCACATTGTTGATGGTACACATAGTATTTGGTGGGGTTATGTGTAGACACCCCATTTTTGACCATCCTTAAGACTCAAACGTCATCGATTGAGTGCTCAGTGATGGTGCATGCTGTGCTCGTTTAGAGGTTTCGGAGTTTTGGCTAAGAGCCTTGCCTCCGGGCCTCTGAACTCTTTGTGCTTTGGCTCGGTTTGTGGACCGAACCTTGTTTTCTCTTCCCGGAGGGAGGGCGAGGTCTTGTAGACCATCTCTTTGTGGTCGTAGACCACTTTTTGTGGTCGTAGGCCACTTTTCCCGTCTGGAGACTAGTTTTCGATTTTTAGAGCCTTTGGCCACGCGCCTTGTCTCGGGACCACTTAACGTTCTCCATTTCACGTGGTTTTTGAACCACACCTTGTTGCCTCTGCATAGAGGGACACTGTGGTCCGGGAGACCACTTTTGTGGTTGCATACCACTTTTG